CTCCTCCCCCTCCCCACGCCCCTTCCTCCTTTTCTCTTTCCCCGCCTCCCTCCTCCTTTTTCATCCTCCTCCTTCTCATCCACCTCCTTCACCTCGTCCCGTCCTCGCTGCACGGGATATCCAGGCGAGTCAAGCATTGCCCCTCACCGCCGCACCGACACCCGCGGGCCCCAGAGGTCTCGACCCGCTGACAGCTTCTCGCCCCGGACCCGCTCCTGATGGCTTCCGGGGCCAGAGAACGAACGGGGGCCCACAAAGGCACAGAGAGACGGAAAAAACGGCCGCGTGGAAAAAGAAAAACAAAAAAAAATCCGCCCGACGTCAAGGGACGGTGGAGGGGCAACGATAGGGGGGACTCGCTCAAGGGGGGAACGTCGACCTGGAATGGGTAATAAATCACCGATAGATCGGCGATAGGCCCCTGGTAGCGAATCCGCACGCTCCTCGGCGGGAGGGGGGCTACCTGGCCCCTTTCAGCGATCACTGGGCGATTGGGGGTCGATGCGTCTCCCCTCTGAGCCTATCCCCCCATGGAGCCTCCTCGTCTGGCTTGGGGGTCATAACTTGGGTCTCTGGCGGCCGTTCGTGACTATCCGGGCATCCCGTGAACGCCCTCGTCGAAGCGCAGCCGCTGGAAGGCTCGGTGGGGAGAGGGGGAAGGCGTCTTAGATGGAGGCTGTTTTTTAGAAGGTGTTCTCCTTACACCTACTCTGCGCCTTCTGTGCGTGGTTGAGATGAGCGACAGGCGTCGGAAACAGATAGCGAACACTCGTGCCACTTTATCCCACCAGCCCTCTGGGTGCAGGTGGTCTAACGATGTCTTTCGTTCCTTCCAAAAACCCTTCTTCCCATTCGGGGCTGTTTCCTATCAACAATTACTCAATATGAATACTACTTGCCCTCTTCCCCTGATGACGGTTTGAAAATATTAGCCCCCCCCGCGCACGGTTTTTTTACGCACAGGATTCCCCGGAGTTGGGTTTTCGCCTGCATGTTTTCCAAAATGCTGCTCTCGCTGAGGCGCCGGCCTCATTTCCGGGCCCCGCTCGTTCCGAATCGTGCTCCCACTGCAGCGCTAGCCTCATTTCCGTGTTTCCGCTCGTTCCGAATCGCGCTCCCGCTGCAGCGCTGGCCTCATTTCCGCGCTTCCGCTCGTTCCGACTCGTGCTCCCGCTGCAGCGCTGGCGTCATTTCCCGCGCCATGCCACGGCATGCAATGCAATGCCAGGTTGATACTACGTTTTGCGGTGCTCTTCTACGCCATGCCACGCCGTGCTCTACAATGCATCGCGTACCCTTTTCGGGATCATTGCCCTGCTCGACATCCGACTGTGCGAGTTGAGAGGGGATCTACGCCATGGTAAGGGATGGGAGGGAGGGGTAGGATGTCAGATATGACGCGAGCGCGCCTAGCTTGATAAACACCCCCTCCCCCAGGCGAGTGGTAGCCAACCAGGAACCATGAGGGCACCCCCCACCATCCCTTGTAAAAAAAAATCAACACACACATTCTCAGGGTGTTCGCATTCAACCCGGAGATGTTACCGGCGCGGGTCAGCGCAGGTCAGCGCAGGTCAGCGCGGATCCGCGCAGATCCGCGCAGGTCAGCGCAGGTCACGCGCTCCTCAGAAGCGCTGGTCAGCGCAGGACAGCACAGGTCAGCGCGGGTCAGCGCAGGACAGCGCAGGTCAACGGGGTCAGCGCAGGTCAGGCCAGTCAGCGCAGGTCAGCGCAGGTCAGCGCAGGTCAGCGCAGGTCAGGCCAGTCAGCGCAGGTCAGCGCAGGTCAGCGCAGCTCAGATTGTGCCCTGTCCTCCCTGTCCGAGACCCGTGCCGTCCTGCGTCGTTCTGTGAGGACCTGCGCTGACCTGCGCTGACTTGCGCTGACTTGTGCTGACCTGATCCACAGAGGTCCCGAGACGTTTCACAGAGGCCTCTACTACTACTGCTACTACTACTACTGCTACTGCTACTGCTACTGCTACTACTACTACTGCTACTACTACTACTACTACTACTACTACGCACTACTACTACTACTACTACTACTACTACTACTACTACTACTACTACTACTACTACTACTACTACTACTACTACTACTACTACTACTACTACTACTACTACTACTACTACTACTACTACTACTACTACTACTACTACTACTACTGCTACTGCTACTGCTACTGCTACTACTAATGCTACTACTGCTACTACGCCGGCGCTTGCGAGAGGGCAGAGTCAGCTGCGCAAGAGGCGGCGAACACCGACATAGGCAAGGAACTTCTCAGCACAGCACACGCTTTCTTTGCACGCGACGAATTGCGCATAGAAAGTTTCTACCGTGGAGTGGAGGGTCCTACTGTGCCTGCCAGGAGGGGGGCAGAGAAATTCTTCATTCGCGTGCCTGTAACGGTCGTTACCTCAACGCTCCCCCCTCCCTCGTGCGTTTGGTAACGACCGCTGCGTCAGGCGAGTGAAGAATGACTTGTGGGAAGGCCGTGTGACGAGAACGGTCGACTACATGCTCACGTCGCGTTGCAGCAGACGGCAGCATGGGAGCCCTTCGTCGGGAGGGCGGCTGAAACAGCCAGGTCAAAGGCCAAGGGGGGCAGCACCTTCAGCGAGCGAGCGTCCGTCGCCATGAAGTGGTACACTTACAAAGGAGTCTGCGCCGACTGGGATATGAGTCCAGTGGTTTTTGATGACTCCAAGAGTACTCTGTCGCAAATCGTGAAGTGTAGCCCTTCAGCATCCTCGGCATTTTTCACGCCTTTCATCTACATCTTTGTGCTGGCGATGCCTGGCTCGGATGAATACCACGCTGAACTCGTATCGCGGCTAGAGAAATCCTGGAACACTTTTTATGGGGTCGCCATGGTGGTAAATGCTTTACTAAACCTTGACCTGGCCACCACAAGAATCTCCAAAACCAAACCGTTCCTCTATGGCTTTTGGGCTGCGTTCTTATTCTTCAGCCCTTTTGGCGAGGCTATCACTGCTCTACACTGCGCTGGCGAGCCGGAGGTCTTACGCAGTCCCATCGTTCGATTACAACGATTATGTTTCAAGCTCTGTGAGTTGAGAAAGGTGTCGAATATATGCAAGTTGCTGTCGCCTTTTCACTGGCTGCTTTGTGATACATCCGATTTTGTTTGATCCTGGCGCGGCGGGTCGTTTGATTTTGGTTTTCTGTTTTGGTCCATTGTTGTCCCCTGGAGGGCGCGAAATGAGGCCGAACACGGCCTGAGGAAGGGGACAAGGGGCGAGGCTGGCTCCAAGATGGCTCAAAATGGCCTCAGGGCTCCAAGAGGCCCCGAGAAGGCCCCAAGAGGGCCCCAAGACAGACCTAGTTAGGATCACCCCGAAGGCCTCTGCGGGGTGATTCTAATTGGGGCTCTCTTGGGGCCCTCTCGGGGGCCTCTTGGGGCCGAAGCTGGCCGTAAAGAGCGCTCCAGATGGCCTCCAGACGACGTCAAGAGCGCCTTCAGAGGTGCCCAAGAGGGCTCCACGAGGGCTCCAAGACGGACCCAATTAGGATCACCCGGAAGGCCTGTGCCGGGTGATCCTAGTTGGGGCTCTCTTGGGGCTCTCTCGAGGCCTTTTGGGGCCGAAGCTGGCCGTAAAGAGAGGCCAAGATGGCCTTCAGACGCCTCCAAGAGGGCCTGAAGAGGCCTCCAAGAGGGCTCCAAGAGGGCCGAAGATGGCCCCAATATGGCCCAACATGGCCCTAAGATCGCCTCAAGACGCCTCCACGAGGGGCCTCTAGAGGGTCCCAAGAGGGCCCCAAAACGGACTCAATTAGGATCCCAATTAGGAGTTCAAGGGTGCGGCACGCCCAGGTCTCGGCGGCAGGGAGAGGGCGGGTTTCGCAGCTTGTGGCACACGCCGTTCAGAACTATCGAAAGTCGGATCTTGTGGCTGGAGAGTGTGAAGCAAGAGCACGAGCTCGCGTGGCCACTCTTTCGCAAGCACGCCGACGACGACGACGCGCCTGAAGAGGAGGTGCGCAAGTCTGCTCGGGTGCAGCGAGTGTTGGGCGAGTTGTCAGCCCATGCGGAATCGCGGGGTCAGGAAGAAGAGGGCGGACCGAGCGCCCAGGTGGGTATTGCTGTGGATTCACATTCCAACGGGTGCTGGTCGTAGTCGTAGTAGTAGTAGTAGTAGTAGTAGTAGTAATAATAGTAGTAGTAGTAGTAGTAGTAGTAGTAGTCGCAAACGTACTCGTGGTCGTGATAGTAGCGGTGCTAGTATGAGTCGTGGTCGTAGACGTAGTAGTCGTAGTCGGAGTAGTAGTAGTAGCGGTAGTAGTAGTAGTAGTAGTAGTAGTAGTAGTAGTAGTAGTAGTAGTAGTAGTAGTAGTAGTAGTAGTAGTAGTAGTAGTAGTCGCAAACGTACTCGTGGTCGTGATAGTAGCGGTGCTAGTATGAGTCCTGGTCGTAGACGTAGTAGTCGTAGTCGGAGTAGTAGTAGTAGTGGTAGTAGTAGTAGTAGTAGTAGTAGTAGTAGTAGTAGTAGTAGTAGTAGTAGTAGTAGTAGTCGTAGTAGTAGTAGTAGTAGTAGTAGTAGTCGTAGTCGTAGTCGGAGTAGTAGTAGTAGTAGTAGTAGTAGTAGTAGTAGTAGTAGTAGTAGTAGTAGTAGTAGTAGTAGTAGTAGTAGTAGTAGTAGTAGTAGTAGTAGTAGGTAGTGGTGGTAGTAGTAGTAGTAGTAGCAGTAGTAGTAGTAGTAGCAGTAGCAGTAGCAGTAGCAGTAGTAGTAGCAGTAGTAGTAGTAGCAGTAGTAGTAGAGGCCTCTGTGAAACGTCCCGGGACCTCTGTGGATCAGGTCAGCGCGGGTCAGCGCAAGTCAGCGCAGGTCAGCGCAGGTCCTCACAGAACGACGCAGGACGGCACGGGTCTCGGACAGGGAGGACAGGGCACAATCTGAGCTGCGCTGACCTGCGCTGACCTGCGCTGACCTGCGCTGACCTGCGCTGACTGGCCTGACCTGCGCTGACCTGCGCTGACCTGCGCTGACCTGCGCTGACTGGCCTGACCTGCGCTGACCCCGTTGACCTGCGCTGACCTGCGCTGACCCGCGCCGGTAACATTTGAAAGCCGTTTCCGGATACAATGCACATTCTGCCTCCAAATTCGGAGCACGCGCAGCCAACCCGATGCGGCCTCCCCCCACCATCCCTGTCAGAAAACAATACAGAGTGCATTTGGCGGCGACGGCGGCTGCGGCGGCTGCGGCGGCGGCGGCTGCGGCGGCTGCGGCAGTGGCGGCGGCGGGGGCGGCGGCGGCGGGGGCGGCGGCGGCGGCGGCGGCGGTTGCGGCGGCGGCGGCGGCGGTGGCGCGGCGGCGGCGGTCGCGTGGCGGCAGCGGCTGCGGCGGCAGCGGCTCCGGCCGCGGCGATTTGGCAGCGGGGGCGGCGGCGGCGCGGCGGCGGCGGCGGCTGCGGCGGCGGCGACGGCTGCGGCGGAGGCGGCGGCGGCGGCGGATTGGCATCCAGTAGCTGCCCATCCAAAGACGACTGCTGAATATGCTGAGACTCGGGCCAGACTCGGGTGCTACGTATGTGTTGGGAGGGCGGGTGGGAGTGAGCGAGACGGCTTGCGGGCGGAGAGGGAGTCTTGACCCCTCCCCTACCCCCTCCCCTGGACCTGGACGGGAGGGGCCGCGATCGGTTGGATCGTCCAAGGCTTCCCCCTTCCCCCATGGTCAATGCTGGCGGAGGATCTGATTTGCACTTCGCCGCGGTCGTCCCCCGACGGGAGGCGGGGGGAGGGGGGGGGGGCGGCGCCCCTGCCTGCCGCATCGAGCCGCGCGCGACTCCAGCCTCGGCGACTCGAGCCTCGGCGACTCGAGCCTCGGGGACTCGAGCCTCGGCGAATCGAGCAACGGCGAATCGAGGTTCAGGCGAATCGAGGCTCGGGCGAATCGAGGGTCGGGCGAATCGAGGCTCGGGCGAATCAAGCCTAGGCAAGGGGGGAGGGGGGGGGGCGTTCCCTGACCCTTTCTGCCTGCCGGAGAGCCGCGCGCGACCGCCGCGCGACCGCCGCGCGGCGGTGCGGGCGGCGGGCGGGCGGCCCGTCCTCGGAGGAGGCCGCTCGCCCATCGGGGACACGTAGTCCGCGGGCGCCTGCGGCGCGCGGGGGGGGCCGCGCCGCCGCAGGCGCCGAGGCTGCCGCCGGCGCGGGGCCAGCACGAGGCGACGTCTGCTTCTAGACGACGACGACGACGACGAGGAGGAGGACGACGACGAGATCGACGAGGACGAGGACGAGGAGGACGACGACGACGAGGACGAGGACGTACTCACTGCTCCACTGGCCAGGCCCTTCCTGGGCCCCAGGGAGCCTGTGCACACGCCCTATTGGCCGAGCCAGGAGGGCGCGGCGCACGTGCCGCTGCTGGGCGGGCGCGGGGGCATCCTGCATGGGGTCGGAGTAGAGGAGGAGGAGGAGGAGGAGGAGGAGGAGGAGGAGGAGGAGGAGGAGGAGAAGGAGGAGGAGGAGGAGGGAGTAGATGAGTAGATGGTGTCGGAGGATCGCGCCGCCTCGCCAGTGCATCGCCAATGCATCGGCGATGCGTCGGCGATGCATCGGCGGCGTCAGCAATTCATCGCCGCCGCCGGCGTGGCAAAAATCTGTCGAAAATCGGGCTCCGCATCGAGCCGCATCGCCGGTGCATCGGCGATGCGGCGCGATCCTCCGACCCCATCTACTCAGACCCCATCTGGGACACAGCTGGCGCCAAAAAGCGGATGCCGCCACACGCCGACGGCCAGGATAAAATGCATCGGGATGAGGCCGGCGAGGCACGGCACGAGCAAAAACGGCTTCGTTTGAAAACTAACATAAGGCAACATGCAGGCCTGAAGCCCCAGCAACACTACCTGTACATCACGGAACGTCAGGCGGGAAACCGCAGAAGCAGCCAGAAACACCCGTGAGGCTCGCTAGTCTGGGGTCCTTCGAGAGGTCTTCAGGTGTTCAAGAATCTTAGCTCGACGCACCAGCTGGTGGGGCGGGCGGCTAGCAGGGCAAAGCTGGGGCGAACCGCGAAAGCGGGTCGGATCGGATACGGACCGGATCGCCAAAGGTAGGTGGCGACATCCGAATCCAACCCCCACATGCCATCGACTCTCGTGAACCGATGAGAGGCGGGGGTAGGCTTCGGACTTCGCAACGTGTTCGACGAATTTTGTGCCCTACTCCCACCGCCCAGCGAGTTGCCCCTCCACCGCCGCCCATCGGCGAGGCTTGGAGCTCGGATTTCGCCGCCGAAGCGACTCGCCCCGAATCGAAGCGACATCGGATCGCCGTGCCTGCCTCCGGCTGGCACTGGCCGATGCTCATCCTCCTCATCCTCCTCCTCGAGGCTGGAGGAATTGTGGCGGCCCTCGCTTTTTGGAGTGTTTATGTTACAATGTAAACGTGATTTGCTCGTTCTCTTTATCGTGATCTTCTTGTCTTGTTTTCTTATTATCCATCTCTCTTTCTCTCTTTCTTTCTCTCTCTCTCTCTCTCTCTCTCACTCTTCGCCAGCCTCTTTACCAAAAAAGATCCCCCCCGAGCATGGTCCTCGGAAATCCAGCCCCGTGCCAAAGAAATCCGCTGGGAATCCTTACCAATGGATCAGATTGGAAAGCCTCATAATCGGAGGCGTTTGGACAGCACTGTTGAGGGCTTCTCTTGGGACGCATCACAGGAAGAAACCGTCTGGGACAACACCAAATACTCGATTGGACAGCCTCGGGTTTGGAACACTGTGCGACATGCTACACAGGAATTCCCTCGTATGGCCTCACAACAGAGATCATCTGGAAAGCGCTGTCTAGCAACACGCATTTTGTTAGAAACAATCCGAATTAGAATCCTTTGGGAAGCGCCCCAAAACGATTCTGTGGGAACAAACAACTGGAACCGTTGTGGTAAGGAATATAACATGTTTTGCTGGACGACCAGCGCAACAAAATGAATTCGATCGGAAAAGCCTGGTAACAGGAATCCTTTGGAAAACACTACACAGGGATTGGATTGGAAAGCCTCAGAAGAGAAATCCGCTGGAAAGCAGCACGCAGGACTCCTACTGGAAAACATCACAAGAGGAATCCTCTGGAAAACGCTACGACGGGCTCCTTTTGGAAAGTACCACAAAGGGAATATTCTGGAAAGCGCCACACAGGGATTCGATTGAATTGAAAGGCGCCAATAAAGGCTCCAATTGGGAACCCGCCCAAAAAAGAGCTCATTGGAAAGCACCACAGAACGATTCCCTGGGACAGCCCCACACCAGAAAACCGCTTTGGAAGCACAACTGAGGGCTCCTATTGGGAAGCCGCACAAAAAATCCATCGGAAAGGACCACAGAGGGATTCAAGCAGGAGGCCTCACAACATAAATCCTGTGGATAGCGCCGCAGAGGGATTCGATTGGAAAGCCTCACGACAGGATTCCATTGGAAAACGCCACCTAGAGATTCTACTGAAAAGCCTCGCAACGAGGATACCCTGGCAAACGCCACAACGGGATTATACGGGAAATCCTCACAATGGACATCCTTTGGAACGCGCCGCAAAAAGTTTCGATTGGAAAACATCACAGCAGGAACCCTGTGATAAGCACCACAAGGAGACCCTCTTCGGAAGCAGCACAAAAAATCAGTTGAAAAACACAACAACAACAAAAACTAGTGGCAAGCCTCACAATCGGAATACATTGGGAACTACCAAAACAAATCGATTGGAAAGCCTCACAACAGGAATCTTTTGGAACGCACCACAACGGCATTGTGTTGAGAACCATCACACTGGGAATCCGTTGGAAAGCACCACATAGGGATTACATGGGAAAGTCTCACACCAGAGAACCTCTCTGAAAGCACCAGTGAAGGCTCCTAAGCGAAAGCCGCACGAAACAGAATCCATCGAAAAAACACCACAGAGGGATTAAAACGCGAAGCCTAATAACCGGAATCGTTGGAATAGCGCCGCAGGGGGATTCTAGCGGAAAGCCTCACGACAGAACTCCTCTGGAAAGCACCACCCAGAGATTCGATTGGAAAGCCTCGCAACAAGGATCTTTTGGAAATCACCACACTTGGATTCTACGGGACATCCTCGCAGTGGAAATCCTTTGGAACGCGCCGCAAAGGGGTTCTGTTGGAAAACGTCACAACAGGAACCCGATGGACAGCACCACAAGGAGATCCCACAGGGAAGCATCACAAAAGGAATCCGTTGGAAAACACTACGAAGCGATTCGATTCGAAAGCCTCGCAATCGGAACCCATTGGGAAGCACTACTCAAAACTTACACTGGGAAGCCTCTCAACAGGAATCACTTGGGAAAGCACCATAACGGCATTCGATTGGAAACCGTCACAGTGGGAACCCTTTGGAACTACCACAAAGGGGATTCTATAGGAAATCCTCACAACAGGAATCCTTTGGAAAGGGACACAAAGGGAATTTGATTGGAACGCCTCTCAAAAGGAATACATCAGAAAACACGTCAAGTGGATTCGATTGGAAATCCGCACAAAGGGATTTCATTGGAAAGCACCACCAAGGATTTTATCCCACCCACCCACCCCACCACCTCCCAAAAAAATGTCCCAGTATGTTTTGATGTTTTTGGGGAGGGACAGAAAGAAAAAAATAAAACCGTCACACTGGGAACCCTTTGGAAACGCCACAACGGGGATTAGATTGGAAATCCTCGCAACAGGAATCCGTTGGAAAGCGCCGCAAAGGGAATCGTATTGGAACGCCTCTCAACAAGAAGCCATTGGAAAACACGCCAAAGGGATTATCTCGGAAATCCGCACAAAGGGATTTAAAAAGCACCATAAAGGATTGTTCTCCCACTCCCCCCACCCCCCACCCCCCAAAAAAATGTTGGACGACGCAAGTTTTTTGTTTGGGGGGAGCAAAAGAATAAAGCCAGTGCTCCTTCTGGGAAGGGGAGGAGGACTACGAGGAGTTGTGCGAGGATGAGGAGGAGGAAGAGGAGAGAGAAGGAGGAGAAAGAGGACGAGGAGGAAGAGGAAGAGGAAGAGAAGGATGCGATAAACTCAGGAAAACCATACGAAAACACCATCCGAAAGGCGAGGGCGCCAGTCCCCCGTTCTCTCCTCCTCCTCCGCCTCCGCCTCCGCCTCCGCCTCCTCCTCCTGATAACCGAACCGAATCGAATCGACATCGAAAGCGCTGCCCCAGCTCGCGCCTCGAATCGCAGCGAATCGGATCGCGTGCGGCCCTGACTCGACGCAGCTCGGAAAGCTGGCCAGGATGGGTCCTGGCAGGGACCCCTGAACTGGGCTTGGCGGGAGTTTGGTCGGGGATCCAGTGTGGGGGATCCAAGATCGAGGGTTGACGTTGTTCTGCGATCTTCTACGTCCTTGGGCGTCCTCGTCACCCCGGCGTCATCCGCCTCGACATTCTGGTCAGAACGCGCACCTGGAAGGGGTAAGGGACCATGTTTAGGGAGGTCCGAGCATCGACGCTCGAGGATACAGATTTTGGGCCGTTTGGGCATCTGTTTGGGCCGCTGGAGGCATCCGGAGGCGTCATCGTCGCCGCCGCCGCCGTCGACGTCGTCGTCATCGGCGGCAGATGTGTCAGAAAGTGTCGGAAGATTTTGAGGGAGGGTATCGGGAGGTTGTCGGGAAGTTGTTAGAAGTGTTCGGAGTAGGCGGAGGAGGCGGAGAAGAAGGTAGGGTGGGGGAGGGAAGGAGGGAGGGAGAGAAGGAACAGCTCAGCCTCTCCTCTTTGGCGGTTTAGCCTCCTTCATAGCTGTCACAAGGATGCCCTGAATCGAAATTCGGTCGAATCGCTTGGATACTCGAACCGATCGAATCGAGCCCGCTCCGTGCAGCTGGGAAGCCCCTCCCTGCCATTCCTCCACCTCCTCCTCCTCCGCCTCCTCCTCCTGTCTCCTCCTCCTCCTCCTCCTCCCTCCTCCTCCTCCTCCTCCTCCTCCTCCTCCTCCTCTTCCTTCTCCTCCTCCTCCTCCTCCTCCTCCTCCTCCTCCTCCCTCCTCCTCCTCCTCCTCCTCCTCCTCTGCCTCCTCATAGTCCACCGCCTCCTCCTCCTGCTCCTCGTATTATTATGCGTCTTAGCATTGTCAGTTGTATTTGCATTGGTAGCCTTATTCTGGTTATTGGTACTGGCATGATTCCTTATCCTCCTCCTCTCTCCTCCTCCTCCTCCGCCTCCTCCTCCTCCTCCGCCTCCTCCTCCTCCGCCTCCCAGGGCGGGCCGGACGATTCGCCTGAGACTTCCTCCCCTCTTATGACACTGAAGCTCGCAATCTTCAGCAGTTACACGGGTCGAGGGGGGGTTGGAATAGAGCTGTCGCCTCAGCGCAGCGTACGCTCACTGGGGACAGTGTGCAGCAGGTTCACTGATGGGGGGCGCTTCCTTTCCGAAGTCGTTTTCAAAACGAGGCTCGAGCCTCAGCGCCGTGCGAATACGTCGTAAGCTATCGCTTGGAACTGCCTCGGAGCTCATGGTTAGCAGTGAAGAGTTGTGCAACAGACACCCTGCTTGGGGCAGACTTTTCGTCAAAATAGCGCCCTCGATAGACAACCTGCTGAACTGTATGATCATACAGTTTCGCGTTGCGCACTCTTCGCCAAGAGGATGCAAAGCACTTCCTTCTCAAAACGGGGCTCTCGCCTGAACGGTAGGCCCATACTGCGCTGGTATGTCAAGGGGGCGTTTCTCGTAGTGAAACAGAAAGCTTCTATGGACTTATGAGGAGGAGACTTGGGACGGGAGCCATTTTGGAGCATCGTTGATGCATCTTAGGCTTACTCTGGTTCTCCTCCTCCTCCTCCTCCTCCGCCTCCGCCTCCGCCTCCGCCTCCGCCTACTCCTCATCCTCCGTATCCTCCTCATCCTCCTCATCCGCCTTATCCTCCTTCTCCTCCGCCTCCGCCTTCCCTCTCCTGGCGTACCCCACTCCCTCTCGCCCATCCCTCTTCCCTCTCTTCATTCCTCGTCATCCCCTCCACTGCCCCCTTCCGCATCCACTTCCTCTTTCCCCTCTGCCATCCTGCCTGCCCCTCCGCTCTCCACACTTATACAATATGAATTATGAATACGACTCTCCTCTCTCCACGGAATACATAGTGCGTTGAGAAGGATTGCATTATTTGAAGTTGATATTGTTTGGTTCGATCGGGCCGTCTTCGTGTGTTGTTCCAACTGGCGTTCCCGCTGTAGCGTTGGCCTCATTTCAGGATCGGCGACGTGCCCCCGTCGCCGAAACGCGGGCCACACGTCTCGATCCGAGTCATTCCTCGTCGTTGTCGCGCCCTTCCTTTCCCCTCATTCGCCTTCCCCTAAGTCCTCCTGCTCCTCCCGCTCCTCCTCCTCCTCCTCCTCCTCCTCCTCCTCCTCCTCCTCCTCCTCCTCCTCCTCCTCCTCCTCCTCCGCATCCTCCTCATCTTCCTCCTTCCTCCTCCTCCTCCTGCTCATCAGCATGCTCATCCGCCACCAACCACATCATTCTCCGCTGCACATAGCTCCACTTTCTGATTGCGCATCCCACGACGATGTCACTTTCGACATGCAGATCCGCTAGGACACCCATCGGCTGAGAGAGGCAAAAACTGCGCCAAGGGCAGGATGCCAGATATTGCGCGCGCACCTGGCTCGCCCTCACCTCGCTCCTCCCGCACAGCCCCCCGCCAATCGTCCCCCCCTCGCCGACTCGGGTCCGATGGTGATCGCCTCTGCTGCCCGCAGGGTCCGCTCGGCCGCTCATACCGAGGCACTCGCTTCTCGGC